GACTAAACCCCGCCCAGTCAAGTGAAATAAATCAAGTAATAATTACAACAGAAACAAGTTTCACAAGTTGAACTATAACCACTTTCTGCTTACGATGTCAGTTCAATTAAGAACACTTATTTTTTCCCAGAAGTAAGCTAAATGTTGTTCCAAATATTTGTGACTGGACATATATATTTAAGAAAACATATAAGTAGGATCCGGGGGAGGGAGTAACAGGGTAATTATTCCCCCTACAAACACACTTTTTAACAAAATTATATTTATTGAAAATTTAAAACGAGAATGAATGAGGTCACTGGATAAATATTTGACAATTAAACTATATGGAAACACATTTGTTTTTTTTTTTTTGGCATGTCACTTACAGAAGTTTGTATCTGATAAGTATAGATTATAAGGTTTTCTACACATTGATATCGTAAAATATCAGCCGCGAGCCACAATGCGAACCTTTTTATCGAGTGAGCGCAGCGAACGAGCTAAAAAGCTCCACATTGTGTCGAGCGGCTGATATTTTACGATATCTATAAGAAGAAAACCCGATTATCTGTTTATCGTTCTATAACTGGTCTTTTCTCCCTCCCTAAGACAGTTTAACATTTGACGAGAGCAAGCTTGATAACGTCTCCTCAGACATTGTGACGTCGCTGATAACTTCTCCTCAGACATTGTGACGTCGCTGATAATGCCTGCTCTCGTCTCAAAGACGTGATACGACAATTACGGATCGACTGAGCAGGGTAATATAGGCGTAGGGAAGGACGATAATTTCTGATTAAAGACTATTGAAGGATTTATTTATGCTTCTTATGATTTTGTATGACTTCGATTTTGATGAAATATCATGAATATGCATATGATTATCAGATCGAGACTCTTTAGGACCGACGAAGAGGTACCAATGCACAAGAAATTCATGACGAAATATTGATTGCAGATGACATTCTTTTGAGCAAGCCAACTGTTTTGTCTATATATAGAAATATTTTTTTTTTATTTTTTCATTTCACGAAAAATGAGGAATCAAATAAAAAGAACTCTCTTAAATGCACCCTATCTTTTTCTTGTTGTAAAATTAATTCCGGCAATTCAATTTCTTATTAGATTGAACTTTGAAGTTCTCAACAATAACGTCATATGAAGTATTAAACCGTTTCTGCTCTTCGTGTAAATCACGCTGCATGGATTCTATTTTTCTCTCCCGTTCCTTTTCAGCTTCACTGAATTCTTGACTTTTCAAGGACAAGGAATTCAACAAAGAGTTCATTTTTTCTCCATATAATTTTGTTTCGTTGGTAGATTGCGTTTTAAAGTTATCAATAATTTCCTGGTAATGATCATTAATTCTCGTTTGAATCTGAAGTTGTTTATCGAGCATCGTTTCTGTTAAAGTTTCTGTTTCTTTCTCAATTTCGTCCATTTTTTCTAATTTCAATGACATTGAACTTTTCATCACTTTCATCTTTTCCTCGAATAGTTCCATTTTATGTTCCAAAACTTTTTCTCCGAAATGAAATTTTGAACAGGTCAGCAATGATTCGGACTCCGAACCAACCGAACTTGTCAATGTCGTAATAACTGATAAACTGAAAGAAAACAGTCGAAAGAAAAACATGTTGGCTGCTCCTTGCAATGTGTAGGACCACAATGAAAAATGTCACTGTTATATGTAAATGATACGGAAAAGATTTTAATTACGCTTTGTTATGATGATACTAACTTTCCTGTCATTTGTTATTTTTTTTAGATCAATTTCTGATAATTTGTTTATTTCCTTGTATATATTGTTAACTGCATGTTACTGATTAAAGGTTGGCATACATGTACCATTTGGAAACTTGTCTAAAAATAGCACACCTTTTTTTACAATGGTTTATGATTAAACCAGATACAATGAAACTAAAGTCAAATGAAATTATTCTAATCTCGATTTTCTTGTCATTAATTGAAATTCACCTGCAGACGTTTCAGATTCATTATTTGCCTGTGCACAAAGGGCATGCATTTGGTCATTTAATATAAAAAAAGAAGATGTGGTATGATTGCCAATGAGACAACTATCCATCAAAGTTCAAATGAAGTGGATGTTAGCAATTGAATGCACTCATACGGCCTTCCACAATGAGAATAAAGAGCTGCGCCTTGAGTGCATCATACGCCCGTCTTTATTCAACGACTAAAGTTCCATAACTCCTCAATGTCATATCAGAAATGTATATCGACAGAGAGCTCTCGTCAATAGATATAAAAAATTCACCAGAGTTTCATGCAAACTGATTAAAGCTTTTTTGAGTTATAGTCCGACATGTTGACGGACGGACGAACAAACGGACGGACATATATGAGGGATATTTGTTGATATTGATATTTGATGGTGGCCATCTTTGAAAAACAGCCAAATTGAAATTTCAAGGTGGGTCTATTACTAATATTGTTCGAAACACCAAGCATTACTCCATGCTAAATTTGACCTTATCTGAATGAACATTTTTTGATTTTGATTTTGTATGGCGGCCATCTTAGAAAAAGCAGCCATATTGAAATTTCAAGGTGGGTCTATAGCTAATATTGTTTTAGATAACCAGCCAATACCATGCCAAATTTGACCTTCAATGAGTGAAATTAATTGATTTTGATATTTGATGGCGACCATCTAGGAAAAAGCCGCCATATTGAAATTTCAACGTTGGTCCATAGCATGTATTGTTCTAAACACCCAGCACAACTACCTTGTCAACTTTGGTGCTTTTATCATTAAACCCACAATTTTGTCACCGATCTGCAGGACTAATAAAATAAACTTTGAAATAACATAACGAACATTTCCGCATGTGAAAACAATATATAAGAGGGTCTGGATGGGGATTCTTCAATCAGTGATCAATGCAACAAAGAAATCCAACCAATAGGTCCCTCATGGAATTTAAAAAAATAATAAAGATTTCTGCATCGCCAAGTCTTTTAGGAGTAAATATTTCTAAAACAATTTAAGACTGACAGCAGCAGTCATTGACAGGACATAGGGTTCCATTTCCCTTAAATGAAAATAACATTTTATTAACTGTGTGCGTCCGAAGCGCTTTTTACGGATCTACTTTCACTTGTAATGGCCCAACCCAAAAATATTCAAACCATTGCACATGTCTAAGAACTTGAATACGGGATGGAGGGTTATATGATCTATAAAGAAATAAAACTAATAAAAGAAAACAAATCTATCAGCATCGTCTGAGGGGGTTGAAACTTTATTTTCCGAACAATTTCTATAATGTTGCATTAATTTCGGATTTTAGCCTATTATATATTGTTTCGTGTTTGTTATAAACATAAACTCTAGTCACCAGGAAATAATCAAATACAAGATGTGTCATCATCCGGCCATATTTCCTCTTTTTTTTAATCAAAACCCGTAAGGGTCAGGTTGAAGTTTTCTTTTTTTTAAATCGTTATCATGACTTAGTATAACGTTATAACGACTGAGCTATTTGTTATCACAAATAAACTAACTCGTCATAACGATTAAGCAACTCGTTATAACGACAAATTTAAATAGATTTTACGACTAAGCTTACTCGTTATCATGATAAAGTTTAACTGTCATACTGACTAAGTATTTCATTATAACGACGGAGTAACTCGTTATAACGACTACACTTACTCGTTATAATGACATATTTTATTTTTTGCCGATTAGTACTTTTCTATATTTTGTTTTTATCAACGTGTGTTTTGCTAGATATCATTTTTTATTGGTAAATCTCAATTATGACGTCAAATGTTCTTGCTCAGCTCTGAAAATCCTATTGTTACGTCGAATAAAGAACATATTTTTAATCAATTTAAAAATAAGATAAAGTTTGTCGAAATATCGGCAAAAAATTATTAGAGAACCAAATTCTATCGCCAAATATCGTGCTATTGATATGTTTCCACTCGACAGTTTAATTTCAACATTTAAAAAGCTCGGCAATCCTAATGTTTTAAATTTTAAAATTAAACTGCCTTAAGTGGAGCAATATCGTATCACATTCGATGCATTGAAAGAATCTATATTTAATTAACTCATTATAACGACTAGGCTAACTCGTTATCATGATTTAACTACCAGTGAGTCGTGTTAAAGTGTAACCTTGATTCGTTATAACGCGTAGACTAAGCTGTTAAAACGAGTTAGCTAAGTAGTAATACATGTGTAACGAGTAAATTTAGTAGTTTTAACGAGTTTCGAAATATTAATAACGACTTAGAATTGAACTACACTCTGTCTGTAACCGGGTTCGTACCCTTTCATGTAACCACGTCAATAAAGTAGTTTTATCCGGTATATGTATATTTATAGTTTTTCGTTAATGACTTTGCAGAGGGTCATAAATAGACCAAATATAAAAATATAAAAAATAATTTTGAAATGACTGTATATATATATGATACATGACATATATTTTTTATTTGTAATCTGCTTTGAATTAACTGCCAGAACGTTTAGATCGGTACTTTGAGTCTTTAGTCTTTTTGTTATTTGATTTTGTGTTTTGTTTTAGTCTTGGTGAGTCCAGTCCCTTTCAAATGTGTTTTAACAATTGTTCCAACGAATGATTGTGCTGTCACAGCACTGTCCCAGGTTAGTGCATGACTGTGCTCTAGCAAAGATGACAGCCCCGCAACATTCGATATGTGACTGTCCCAAGTAAAAAACAATCTGTAACTCAGTATATTTTGTTGGTTGCTGTCAGTCATATTTTTCTCCGTCTTTTGTTTTGTACATAAAGCAGGCCATTGGTTTTTTGTTTGAATTGTTTTACATTTTGTAGCTTTGTTGGCCTTTTGTAGTTTTCTACATGCTATGGGTTTCACACTTTGTTAAAAGTCGTACTGTGAAAAATAGTTTTTTTACATTTACACCATTTGGTCTATGTTGGGATAGTTGTCTCATTGGTAGTCTTTCCACATCTTCTAATTTCTATACAGTATATATATTTGAATTATAACGATGTTGGCACAAAAGTTGATTTTTATTTATTCAGGGCGTTTTCTATTTAAAATTTTCTCATTTTTGTCATCACGCGAAAGTATCTTATAACTTACTATACGGTATGTGTTTTGATTATTGTTGAAGACCTTCTTAAGCCTTGTTTGTTTGGCCTATAGTGAATAGTTATCTCATTCATAATGTTTATTATCGCTATTATTTGTATTTTTCCTTTGATCTTTTTATGTGATAATTTTCATTCTCACTCGACTCACTTGAGAATGAAAATTATCGCTAGTTTCTAAGGTCCTTAGCAACAGCGTATTGATCCATATCCACGCACTAGAGCGTCGACCAATCAGAAATGTTTAGCCGGAACTATAAAAAAAAACGTTATCGGATGACTGCGCTGAAATGTCGACAAAAAAAGTATTTTTCTCGTTTCAATTTTACCGTGAATTTCACTTATAAATCAACTTGAAGTTAGTAAAAGTAATCAAATCATGTTTCTTACAAATAAAAAATGTCAATTTTTACATAAATCTGCTACAAATGATTGTCTCTCTGTCTGCATGTATTGTTACACTAAAATAGAGCTTTCAAAACGGTGAAAATGGTGATTGCAATCTTTGAACACCATGAACAAATGCCATTTTTCAAATGAATGAAAGTCGTTGTGTGACTAAATATATATCAAATCAGCCTGCTCGAAAAAAATAGTACCAAAAAGGAAAATGCATTCTTATCGTATTAGATATATTTTTTGCTGTAATTTGTACTAAATAATATTCGAAAATACACATAATAGCGATAAATAAATTATTTATGTTTTTTTTTCAAACTCAATGCATTTTCTGATTCTCATCTCATCTCAAGGCTATCGCCCTTCGATGAGATGAGAATGAGAAAATGCATCTCGTTTAAAAAAACCAGAAATAATCTATAACTACATCTTCATCTTTTATACAAAGAAAGGCTTCCGGTCATATCAGTTCGATCATCGTTATAATACTAATTGTTTAAAGAATGCAACAGATTTACACACTGGGTTACATTGCATGTATTTAACATTGTTCTAGGAAAGTAAAAGTTTGAAATGTATTCAAGCTAAATTAAAAGTCTTAGACATTCTTAGTCTATGTGATCCTATATCCAGAAAATGTAATGTATCTATTAACGTCACTATAGATTGTTTGACTTGTATGACTCTCAAGATATACTTTGTCTCCTTTCTGTAGATTAAATACAACATCAAATGTTCCTGTCTTATAACCATCGCCATTAAGATAACTTGTTGCTATCCGCAATCCGTTGTGACAAAGGTACAATATCAGAATTTGTCCATTATCTGACATAACAACGTCAGTCAAATGATAAAGACCCGGATGTGGAGCTTTGAATATCCCGGTACTTGGTTCATATCCATTCCCTACATTGGTCCATACTCCATCAAACTTTACTATATCACCTGCTGACAACCTTTGTGAACTTGACCGGTAAGCTGAGAAAGCAACAGTCTCTCTTTTCTCAATCATTTCTTTAAAATCTGAATATTAAATGAAATATATAGTTGTTTTAATTGTGTTATACGAAAAACAATCAATAAGACAGCAAATAAAATGAAATGTTTAGGTTCCTTTTTTTTTATATAGTGCATAACATAAACCGTGTAATAGATATAATATGCATAGCATGACTAAAATATTCTGATTGAACTACTCATATGTTTTGGTTTTTTGGTTTTCTTGTGATTTTCGTTTGTTTGTTGCGTTTTTTTTTCTTTTTCTAACGATTCTCCTTGTCTTTTAGATAGAAAATAGCTTGACAAAAATATATCGAAAAATATAACAGTCAACAAATTGATATGCAGAAAACAAAACAGTTCAGCAATACATCCCAACAGAAAAGTCGATGCTGACGTGATTTTGAATACACAGCAGATCCTGCTCAATTAATGTTCAAAAATGTATTATCAAATCTTTACAAAATTGAAAAAAAAAATATCTGGTTCAAAGAAGACAATGTACATTTTACGTTTTTTGTAACGTTACATAAAAATGAACGATATTCAAATGTTGACCTATAACCAATTTTTGCTTATAAACATCACAAACAATGTTGGGTTTAATTAAAAAAACTTAAGTAACTACTAATTTTGATTTATACCTTTGTACCATTATTAGGTAAATTATTAGTTTGTCCGAAATATTTGAGACTGGACGTAATCAACTACATATTTTTTTTTTAAATTTTGGCAAACAGATTCTATTGAAAGTGAAAATGAAAGAGAACACCAACTAACGAGAAAGAGGCACAAGGAGATACCCTCTCAACACTTTTTGGCAAACAAATTTTATTGTAGATGAAAATGAAAGAGAACACCGACTAACTTTTAGACTATAAAACAACAGAAAATATTTTTCTTTTTTGGTTTTTTACTTTCAGAGGTTTGCCGCCCTCCCACACACACACACTTTCCGTCTACTGCTTCGCCACTTTACCTTGAACCATATTATCATTAGAAAAGAGTTTGATTCACCGTCAAGTAGTTATTTCACTTTGATTTAAAATTTTGAAAATTGATTTAACTTAGTGTAATTATAGATATCAATGTAGAGACTTGGTATCTTCTTTGGCTTATCAATCCTAAGAACGAAGTGGGGTTTCAGTACCTTCAAATTATTAGGTATCACTTTCTGTGTTGATTTAGATAGAATGTTAAATCTAAACTATGCTCCTCGAATACAAGAAATAGAAAAAACATTACAAAAATGGTCAAAACAGTCACTTACCCCGTTTGGTAAAATAACAATTATAAAGTCACTAATTATATCAAAATTAAATCATCTGTTCCTGTCCATCCCAGGTCCAGATGATAAAATGATACGTCAACTTAATAGTAAAATTTATTCATTCATTTGGAATGATAAGCCTGACAAGATAAAGCGAGATCTTCTATGCCAAGAATACTTTAGAGGGGGCCTAAAAATGATTAATTTGAGACATTTTATACAAGGGTTAAAACTTACTTGGGTTAGAAGATTATTTAAGTCAAAATCCAAATGGATCCAATTATTTACCTCCACCAAAATATAAATTTTACAGAGTTGGCTTATTTTGGAAAAAACAAATTTTGGGATGAAGTTTTTCATGCCTGGAAAATTATGTCAAAACTCAGATATCCATTTCATTTTGAGGAAGTCATTTCGACATCTATGTGGCATAACGAACATATTAAAATTGATAACGTCAGCGTTTACTATAAAAATTGGTCACATCATGGGGTATGGACTGTAAATGACCTGTTAGATGAACATGGAAATATATTAACATATGAAAATTTTGAAATTATGTATAATTTCAAACCCATGTTTCTACAGTTTTATGGGCTTATATTAGCACTAAAAAAATGGCTACAAGCCATTAGAATCAACACCGAAAGAGAGAAAAAACATCAGGCTATTATACCTTTTAACATTAGTATTTTCTTTAAGTCCGAAAAGGGCTCAAAGGACATGTATACTATTTTAAATCAAGGAACTTTACCTATAGATTTTGTAGCAGAAAAAAAATGGGAAGGTATTCTTAATAAAGTTGTAGAAAATTGGAAAAAAATACACTTGTGTGTTACCAAGGTTTCAAAAAACACTAGGTTATTATGGTTTCAATATAGAATTATTCATTATATCTTAGGGACTAATGCTCTACTCTTTAAAATGAAACTTGTTAACTGTAATTTGTGTACATTTTGCAAGGAAGAGCCTGAAACTATAGAACATTTACTTTGGGGACGTCATATTGTAGCCGACATTTGGCACAATCTAAATTCTTGGATTTTCGATATAGTTCATATAGAAATTCCACTAAATTTGAATATTGTCATTTTTTGCCCCTATGAAAATTATAAATTATATTTTATTAAAAATAAAGTTATCTTACTGACAAAGTATTTCATTTACAGATGTAAGATGCAAGATATAAAACCTCATATTAAAGGTCTGCAAAATTACATAAAAGAAAACTTGATTTTAGAGAAACATATTTCTTCTAAATATTTAAGTATGGAAGAACACAACTTGTCCTGGAACCCCTGGGCTAAGGTCATTAATTAAATTTAAATTAGGTTAATGTATATACATATGTGTATATGAGTATTTAAAAGTACTTGTATACTGTTATACCATATGCATGCTCATATATTTCTTGCACTACTATTACTATTATTACTATATTAATGAAAATGTTATTACTATACTTCATCCATAGATTTCATAGTGTTAGTCCATAGAATGCTTATCATGCTTATTTATTTCACTTGCTTGATTATTGTGCCACAAGATAAATATATGATGATACCTGTAAATTCATGAAGAAAAAAAATAAATTATAAAAAAAAAAGATCGAAGTTAAGACATGTTTAAATACTGATAATATACAAGATAATGAAGTGTGTGTCCGAGCGATAACGTCTCTTTGTTCATTACGTCGGGCATATTTATCCCGAACAGGAGGGATTGTGCATGATTTTCATATGAACAACACATAATCTTTCGATCAGTTTAATTGAGGTCTGGCATGTCAGTAACTACTAGTAGTCCTTTGTTTATTTATGATAAACATTGTCATTTTGCTTAGTTTCTTCTTTTACCCGTTCTAACATCGGCTTTGGACATTTTTGGAACTAGGTTTTATTTCATTGGCTAGAGGTATTAAGGGGGGTGGTGTCAAACAAAACATGTTTAACCCCGCCGCATTTTTGCACCTGTCCCAAGTCAGTAACATCTAGCCTTTGTAAGTCTTGTGTGATTATTTTCTAATTTTGGTTCATTTACTAGTATATGTTTTTAAGTTTAGTGTGGCGCCCATTTCGCTAAATTAGTAGACATTATTGGTTAGGGGCCAGCTGAAACCCGTCTTCGGTGCTGTATTTTCTCGCTACGTTGAAGACAAATCGGTGGCTTGTGCTGTTTTCTACTCTTTGGTTGGGTTGGTGTCTCTTTGATACATTCCCCGTTTCCGTTCTCATTTCTATTTGCTCATCAATAACAAATGTAACTCAGCACCACTTGAAGGTAAAACCCTCATAAAATGTTGTAAGTTTTACATGTTATTTAAGAAGAAGAAAACGAAGTATTTGAAATCTGAAAGACAATTTAGTGATTTAATAATTGTATTAATTGGTACCTAAAAGGATTGATTTATGCATGTTGCATGTGCGTATCATATATCCACTCTGAAGAAATTTTAATTTTAAATGACATTATTTTGAACAGACGATTGGTTTGCATAAACATATAGAAAAATTCGGTAAATAAATGATTATTAATCCATCAATGATTTTAAAATAATGGAAGCAAAGTAAAAACTAAATGTATCTGAAATGAACCCTACCTTCCTCTTGAAGAAGAATTAATTCTCGCAATGTCTGATTAGATTGAACTTTGAAGTTTTCCACAATCACATCATAAGACTTATTAAACCGTTTCTGTTCTTCGTGCGAATCAAGCTTCATGGATTCCATTTTTCTCTCCCGTTCTTTTTCAGCTTTACTGAATTCTTGACTTTTCAACGACAACGATTCCAACAAAGAGTCCATCTTTTCTCCATACAATTTTGTTTTGTTGTTTGATTGCGTTTTAAAGTCGTCAACAATTTCTTGGTTAGACTCATTAATTCTCGTTTGAATCTGAAGTTGTTTATCTAGCATCGTTTCTGTTAAAGTTTCTGTTTCTTTCTCAATTTCGTCCATTCTTTCTAATTTTGATGAAACTGAACTTTCCATCAATTTCATTTTTTCCTCGAATAATTCCATTTTAAGTTCCAACCGTACAAGTTTTTCAAGAACTCTTTCTTCAAAATGAAATTTTGAACAGGTCAGCAATGATTCGGACTCCGAACCAATCGAACTTGTCAATGTCGTTATAATTGATAAACTTAAAGAAAACATTCGAAAGACAAACATTTTGGCTGCTCCTTGCAATGTGTAGGACCAAAATGAAAAATGTTATATATAAATGATACGGAAAAGATTTTGATCACGCTTTGTTATGATGATACTAACTTTCCTGTCATTTGTTTAATTTTTTTTAAATCACTTCCTGCTTATTTGGTTATTTCCTTGTATATATTGTTAACTGCATGTAACTGATTAAAGGTTGGTATACATGTACCATTTGGAAACTATTCTAAAAATAATAGTTAAGCACACCTTTTATTTACAATGGTTTATGATTAAACCAGATACAATGAGACTAAAGTCAAATGAAATGTTTCTAAATTTGATTTTCTTGTCATTAATTGAAATTCACCTGCAGACGTTTCATATTCATTATTTGTCTGTGCACATAGGGCATGCATTTGATCATTTAATATAAAAACAGAAGATGTGGTATGATTGCCAATGAGACAACTATTCATCAAAAGTCAAATGAAGTGGATGTTAACAATTAAATGCACTCATACGAATTTCAACAATGAGAATAAAGAACTGCGCCATGAGCGCATGATACGCCGGTCGTTTTTTTCAACGAATAAAGTTCCATAACTCCTCAATGTCATATCAGAAATGTATAAAACAATCGACAGAGAGCTCTCGTCAATAGATATAAACAATTCACCAAAGTTTCATGCAAACTTATTAAAGCGTTTTTGAGCTATAGTCCGACATGTTGACTGACGGACAGACAGACGGACGGACGAACAGACGGACGGGCAGACGGACAACGGTACACCATATTACGTCCCGTAAACGGGCGTATAAAACCCATACCGTATAGTTGCCTTTAAAGGCCCCGTGATACTGTTGAGACGATTATAGTACCGCGGGAATTAAACATGTACTTATGCGCGCTAGCGCTGTCTATATGTAAACGTCATGGTGTCTATGTGTAAACGTCATTGTAGTCCAGCATTAATTGTTCATTTGTTTAGACTTCTTTTTTCACTTCATAAACACAACGCATTCTACAATATACGATCACGAAATTGGTACCGAGACCAGGATAAAAGATGGATTCGACGAAAATCAAGTCTATTCGAGCTGGAAATAGAGCCGCCGTCACGAAATTCTTCGAGAAACTAGATGAGTTGAACACTGATTCGGAGATAGATATTGGTATTGCAGATCAAATTATTGACGCTATAGTGAAAAACAAAGTGTAATTCTTAAACTGGATGAACAGATCTTGGAAAATACATCGGAAGAAGATATAGAAGTTGAAATCACAGATGCAGATGAGTATAATTTAGAAAATGAAACACATTTACGCCGTTATAAGAAGTTAGCACAAAAAACTACACGACAGAATTATCTCATGAAAGCATCCCAAGCACACGCCCTGTCATGAACATGCATGAATTCAATCCCGAAACCCGTCCTGTAATGAACACAGAATCCATCCCAAGATTTTCATCACAAACTAGTTCACTGTCAAGTTAACCCTACCTACGTTTTCTGGGGACACACTTGAGTAGCAATACTTTTGGAAGACGTTTGAAACCACCATTCACAACAATCAAACTCTAACTGATGTACAGAAATTTACTTACCTACATTCACGTCTTGATGCCGACACTATGAATATCATAAATGGTTTGAACTTATGCTTGGTAAGCTCTCTATTACCGTAAAAAGTAACAAAACAAGAGAAAACCGAAACGATGACTGGACACTTGGAAATCTTTTACAGGCCATTCAAAGAGAAATATCTATTCAAGAAGCCAGTTCTAATGGGACGGAAAAAAATTTGATCAGTACCGCAAGTTTTCATGCAGGAATAAGTATGAGAAATAACTGAAATAAGCCAAAAACTGACATATATTTCCAAAAGGTGCATCTATTGCAACGATCAACATTTCCCTGCAAATTGTAAAAATTACACTGATAGAAAATCAAAAATGGAGATAGTAAAGAAGAGACATCTATATTTCAATTGTTTGGATAACTATAAGATATCAGAGTGTGGATCGAAAAACACCTGTCGTAAATGTAACCGTAAGCACCACAGAAGTTTGTGCAAAGAATCATCCGATCAGCAATCACAGAGTCAGCATACTAGTAATAGAGAAAATAGCACGCCGATTATGCATTCAGCTGCTATTCAACAAAATTGGACCGTCTTCTTTAAAACCGCAATAGCTCCCATATGGTCACAGAGTCAGTTCGCCGACGCTAACATACTTTTTGACGAACGAGCTCAACGATCCTTTATAGCACAGGAATTAGCTGAGAAGTTGAAAGTCAAGCCACACGGAAAGGAAACCATCAACATATCCACCTTTGGAAATTCGGACAAGAATGATCGCCACATGAACAAGGCCACAGTATACTTAGAGGCAGACTCAGGAGAGAAAATACCTTTACAGGTATTGATTGTACCTACCATAGCAGCACCGATCCAGAATAATCGCAGGTACATTTCACAGAAACTCCAGTATTTGAAGGGACTTAAACTAGCCCACCCTTTGTCAGAGTATAAAACTTTTGACATTTCATTACTCATTGGAGCAGACCACTACTGGGATGTAATTGAGAACGTTTTAGTTCGAGGCGACGGGCCGACAGCGATGAGCTCATAAATATGATATTTGTTGTCTGGACCACTTACTTCATGTGCAAGACAACAACACAATTTACACATGATGCATGTATTTACAAGTCATAAAGTAGAGGATCATAATATTATAAGGTTTGGGAAATTAGAGTACCTTGGAATAAAAGTTAAGGAGAAACCGGACGAAGAACCACAGCGCATTCACAACATTCCGCATCACCCCGTCACGACAGGTTCTACAACTACTCAGATTAGAAATGTTTATGACAGCAGTTATAAAGAAAATACAAAGAGTCCTAGTTTAAATAACTGTCTACACTCATATCCACAAACTTCAAATGAACACAAGGACCTCCAGGACATTAGAAAAATACTACAACATTTTCGGACGAGATAAAAGAAGGAGCACAATTTCAAACGCAACTTGATTCAGTGATAATTTTATATGTGACTCATGGAATTTAAAGTTTCAGATACATTGCTCATTGAGACTGTAATTGCATAAACTCGCGGCCCACAGTATGTTGAGGATAATTAGAGACGATTATAGTACCGCGGGAATTATACATGTACTTATACGCGTTAGCGCTGTCTATATGTAAACGTCATGGTATCTATGTGTAAACTTCATTGTATTCCAGCATTAAATCGTTCATTTGTATAGACGTCTTTTTCCACTTCATAAACACAACGCATTCTATAATATACGATCACGAAAATACACTTATTTTTTTATTTTTCCTCAACTTTCATTTAAAAGCAAGAAACTTTAAAAAATATGAAACAAAAAGAGAATGTTGTAATATCTTACACTTAGAGCTTACATTTTAACGAAAGTTACGAACGAACGGAAAGGAAGCATGTAAAACATTCCCCCGATAACGCTGGGAGTCTTAGGTTTTTCTGGTAACACGTCATTATTTTCTAAATCAAATGTATCTTCAAAATTTACGCATCGGAAATAAAAAAACACATTTGATATTTGAATAGGAAAAAATAACTTTAAAATACACTAACGCCCGATACGTTGTTTATGTTCAAACTCATGTGGGCGGGACTTGTTTATTAAGCACGCATTTTGTTTCAAATGTTTAAACATATTAATATAGTGATGCAATTCTTGAAGTATGATACTCTAAATTTATTGATATCTTTATTCAATAATGACTTTGCCATCATGAACTTGTCGACGTGGAACATCAAAGTTTGTCAGAAAACAAATGCTACAATGAATGGAAGAATTGATAAAAAAAATCTGGGAAGTGGAAAATATAGATTTTATGATGAGGTCTTTACCATTAAGTCAATGGTTCAAATAGGAAAAAATTATAATGCGACATTTGCAATAGCATAAAACAAATGTGAAACGAAATAAAAACTCAACCGCCCTCTCCAAGAAAGTTAAATGGTCTTTTTCTTAGTATTCCGCCAAATCGTCGCTGGACTTCCAAAATATTATGAAATACATATTTTTCAACAACAAAAAACTCACAAACAGGCTTTGAAACTTTGGTTAAAATGTTTGCTTCCAAAATATCATATATATATGTGAACATTTTTGTCAATGGCTGTGAAATAAAACTTGGACATAACTGATAAACACATAAACTAAACTTATTTTCACAGAAATAAAGAAATATACAAGTTTTTGATTCCCAAAGCCATTATAAAACAAATTTCAAGTTTACACACACAACATTTTGAAAGGAAAATAAAAAAACAAACGAGACTGACAATTTTGTCCCATGTCTTATTTCAAATGTTTTGATTGGTATTTTCTTTTGGAATATAAAAGATTTCCACCCGCGAAGCCGATGTGTTTGGAAATGTAGTTTAAGCATAACGAGTCATAAACCACATTATTGAAGCCGAGTAATGAAATGATTTTTATGTAAAAATAAGTAGATGTGGTATGATTGCCAATAAGTCAATTATCCAACAAATAAATAGATAGAAGCAAGTATAGGTCACCGTACGGCCCTGACATGAATAACGTGAATCAATTCTAATAAGAAAAACTTACGGCCTAATTCATAACAAATCAATATACGAAAAACAAATACGACAGACATGAACCAACCTGTCTGTTTACATGGTCTGTTTTCAGGGTCTTATTTCAACTATTGATATCTTCAGATAATGCTAGATGCACACACAATTAGCTTTCACGAGAGATCAGCCAAACAACAAATAAATGATAATCATCAATTCAGATAGATTTAAAAATTAACGTTATATTGTATGAGTCCTGTTTAGCAAGTTTTAAATAATTCAAAACAAAAAGATAAACAAGCAACAAGTTATACTGAGAAAAAAAATTAAAACTTAAGTGTTGCAGAAGGTTAAACAGTCTCTTTCATTGACTTCGTTGTTCATACAATAGAAAAACTCCACGTGACGTTTAAATTTTGAAAACATTCGATTCGTTGAGCCAATCAAAATTT